CCTTACATAGAAAACTTTGTATCAATTTGACTGTATGATCTGGTTGAACTGTAAAGTGCCTTGAGATGACATGTGTTGTGAATTTGGCGCTATATAAATAAACTGAATTGAATTGAATTGAATAACAGATCCTACTTTAAAGTTTCCAACTTTATAATAGGAGCTTAATCTAAACCATCAAAACCGTCTGAACCGTTCGGTTTGACTGTCTCGGTTCGGTTCGCGTGTGTTTCGTTCGGTTCATGTGCTGCTCCTTTTTCTCATAGGGGAAGCGATTACACTCCAGAGCAGAAGGTGGCGGTACTGCGACCAAAGCCAACCACCAGTAGTAAACAAGAAGAAGAAGAAGCAAAGCAGCATAGCCGGGTGTAGCAGAAAAAAAATCAGTATATATATATATATATATATATATATATATATATATATATATATATATATATATATATATATACACTATATTGCCAAAAGTATTTGCTCACCTGCCTTGACTCACATATGAGCTTAAGTGACATCCCGTTCCTAATCCATAGGGTTCAATATGACGTCGGTCCACCCTTTGCAGCTAGAACAGCTTCAACTCTTCTGGGAAGGCTGTCCACAAGGTTTAGGAGTGTGTTTATGGGAATTTTTGACCATTCTTCCAGAAGCGCATTTGTGAGGTTGCACACTGATGTTGGACGAGAAGGCCTGGCTCTCAGTCTCCGCTCTAATTCATCCCAAAGGTGTTCTATCGGGTTGAGGTCAGGACTCTGTGCAGGCCAGTCAAGTTCATCCACACCAGACTCTGTCATCCATGTCTTTATGGACCTTGCTTTGTGCACTGGTGCACAGTCATGTTGGAAGAGGAAGGGGCCAGCTCCAAACTGTTCCCACAAAGTTGGGAGCATGGAATTGTCCAAAATGTCTTGGGATGCTGAAGCATTCAGAGTTCCTTTCACTGGAACTAAGGGGCCAAGCCCAGCTCCTGAAAAACAACCCCACACCATAATCCCCCCTCCAACAAACTTTACACTTGGCACAATGCAGTCAGACAAGTACCGTTCTCCTGGCAACCGCCAAACCCAGACCCGTCCATCAGATTGCCAGATGGAGAAGCGCGATTCGTCACTCCAGAGAACGCGTCTCCACTGCTCTAGAGTCCAGTGGCGGCGTGCTTTACACCACCGCATCCGACGCTTTGCATTGCACTTGGTGATGTATGGCTTGGATGCAGCTGCTCGACCATGGAAACCCATTCCATGAAGCTCTCTGCGCACTGTTCTTGAGCTAATCTGAAGGCCACATGAAGTTTGGAGGTCTGTAGTGATTGACTCTGCAGAAAGTTGGCGACCTCTTCGCACTATGCGCGTCAGCATCCGCTGACCCCGCTCCGTCAGTTTACGTGGCCTACCACTTCGTGGCTGAGTTGCTGTCGTTCCCAAACACTTCCATTTTCTTATAATACAGCTGACAGTTGACTGTGGAATATTTAGGAGCGAGGAAATTTCACGACTGGATTTGTTGCACAGGTGGCATCCTATCACAGTTCCACGCTGGAATTCACTGAGCTCCTGAGAGCGACCCATTCTTTCACAAATGTTTGTAAAAACAGTCTGCATGCCTAGGTGCTTGAATTTATACACCTGTGGCCATGGAAGTGATTGGAACACCTGATTCCAATAATTTGGATGGGTGAGCAAATACTTTTGGCAATATAGTGTATATATACATACACACACACACACACACACACACATCTTCAAAACCTGCAGGACAGCGGCCTTTAGACAGACCAGAGTTATACTGAACATTTTAGACTTCATATAAACTTTACCAAAAGAGGTTAAAAAGGTTAAAAAACAAAGTGCTGAACTTTCTTTTCCAAGTTTGAAGACGTTTCGTTTCCCATTCAGGAAGCTTTTTCAGTTCAACTGACTGAGAATCTTCACCAGAATTTGCCAAAAAATTCAACCACAGCGAGTTTTTGATGTCATTTAATAAGTTGTTGGTAAAATAAATGTCAATTAAAAGTTTTCACAAAGTCTTCATGTAACGACCTGTCAGCATCATTCTCACAGTTACTTGGAGCTTGACGGGTATTCATACCGATTATATGTGTATTTCGAGGCGATAGACCCAAAATACTCAAGAGTCTCAAAATATTTTGCTACTGCCAATTTTTATTAATAAATCTGTGTAGTACTCTGTACCATGGAATAGAAAAAATAACCTTTTCCTGCATGCAGGTACTGGACTGACTCTCTGTCTAAATAGTTGAATATTTTTTTACTTAGGACTTTCGATTGGCAGAGAGACGATCTGTGCATCACCGATCCTTCTTATTTAGAGGAATGGGTGTGGAGCTGACATTTCTTCTGCTATGTTAGATTCCTAAGAATGATCTGAGCAGTGGAGCAACCTGTTGTGAGCTCCAGACAGTGAAGTCGCAGCCAGACAGGCCTGAAATACCAATTCATCTTAGCCAATAAATTAAACCACTGTTAACTGAAACCCAAACCTGAAATGCATTCCTCTAGCTGTAAGTCTCTGTGTTTTCTCTTTGGTCTTCAGCCACCACTTTAACAGAGCTCATTTGGAGCAGCACGATGGCTGAAAAACAGCCTAAAAATACATCATAAGGTTCTGAGCTGACAGGAGACTCAAGTCTGTGGTGTTTTCTCCTAATATCCAATAATCCCAGTGAGACTTGTTGCAGGGCATTTATGAGCGACCATGAATTTAATAGTTGGTAATTTGTTTGACAAAAAAAATACAGGGAAAATATGTAATGGTAGGAGGGATGGAGGCTGTCATTTAGAGTCTCTGGATCAGCCGGGACCTGGGCTATAATCTGGGGAGGCAGAGCCAAGAGTTGGGTAAGAACAGCCTGACGCTTCGCACTCTGAAGAGGCTTTTAAAGTTTTATTCCTCCGAGATCACAGGCCAACAAATGCTGAAACTGAAACTTTTTATGTTTGTGTTTCCTTTCATCCAGCCTCCATCATCATGTGGTAAAATATAAAACAGAAGCTGAAGAATCTTACGTTTTGTGCCAGAGCTGCAGCGCTGTCCAGGACGGGAACGGGCTTGCTCTCTTCATAGTGCTGCAGTCGTTCGTGGATCTACAAAAAAGAAAAATCATTTATGTTAAATAAAAAGGAATAAAACCTAAAAAAAATGAACCAACTCCGCAGGATCAGAGGGAAATATCTCCCCGTTGCTAAAGTTTAAATGGTTTTTTTAAGTTAGGAGATTCCAGAGCTTTACACTACATTCAGTCAGTCACATAATGATGGTGGTGAGCTGCATTGTAGCCACAGCTGCCCTGGGGCACGCTGACAGAATGAGGCTGCCGTACAAAGTTGCCGCTAGATCATCTGACCACCATACACTCCAAAAACGATCTAAAAATTTGTAAAAAATGTCTTAAATTAAGTGTATTTACCCTTAATTTGAGCAGGTAAATGAGATAGTTTGCCAACGGAATGACCAATTTTACTCTTAAAATCAGATATTTAGATAATATGCACTTGAAATAAGACAATGCAATTGTGTTTTTTAATTTTAAGTGTAAATTGTCTTGTTCCATTGGCAAAATGTCTCGTTTACCTCCTCAATCCAAGAACAAATGCACTTATTCTAAGAAAAAATGACTTATCTAGATTTGTTTTTTTTCCAGTGTAAGCAAGCAGGACAAACTTTCTGCATCCTATTCAGTCATTTTGCTCCCTAAAAGTTGGGATCCCCTCAATAGCCCTCAACTTCCCCATGACTAGAAACAAGACAGTTAAAAGATGGCCACCTCAACTCCATGTCAGAAAAAGAAATTATATCAATACATCTAATTTTGAAGAGAAAATGATAATTTCAGCCCAATGAGACTGCCTGAAAATCGGTTATTTGTGGGGCTGCAGCATTACTGAGAACGTTTTTTCCGCAAACATTTAGACTTTTTGTCAAACTCTTTATCTTCATAAAAAAAAAAAAAACCTAACTAAACTTTTTTTTTATCTGCTCATGTATCTTATACTAATCAGTACCGATTCAGTCAAAGATCTAAGTTTGTCAGAGAGACAATAGCCATCTGCTCTCATTACTGGAAACCTACAAGGAACAGAGATATAAAGAGCTTAGGACAAATACAGTAAAAAAAATGTAATTATCAAAATTTTAGAGAGAGAAAATGTATCTTACTTTCATCATTTAATAAAGGTTTATTTTATTTATATAGCTCACTTTGATTTTCTGTCAGGTTATGATTGAAACACCCAGAAATTAAAATTCCTGATGTTTTTAAAGGAGCCATGACACAGAGTCCACCTTTTATCCACCTTACTTTTATCTTTTTAAATATTTTATGTGTTTCTTGTGTTTCTTCTTTTATTTTTTACCTTTGATTTGTGAAATGTGAACGTGTGTGTGAAAGGTGTACTACTACTGCACAAAAATTGCTCATACTGGGACAAATAAAAGCTACTGAACTGAAATATTTCGATCATTTATTTCTGCTAATCTTGATGATAATTGCTTACAGAAAAAAAAATAATAATAAAGTTGATTAGGAATTGGAATATCACATTTAATAGAAATTTAATTAAAAGGCTTCTAAAAAAATGAAGTTAATCTGTATGTTTATTACGTATTACTTGTTTGGGACTCATTTTGCATGAATTACTGCATCAGTGCAGCGTGGCATGGAGGCGATCAACCTGTGGTTCCGTTTAGGGATGCACGATATAATCGGCCCCCTATCGGTATCGGCCTTAAAACTGAATATCGGACATCGGCCACCCCACCGATATTTAACCCGATATTTGATCAGCTTCTGAGTTTCTAAAGTCTAAAAAAAACTAAAAAAAAAACTTCTTTTTCTTCCTCAAAAACTTCTTTTTTACAGACTTCAAAACTTCTAAAGACGAGGGAAAAAATATTGATACATTAAAATATCACAATATCTTCATATGCTGATATATTGCCATTTAAAAACACCATATCAATCTCTTTTACTAATGAAATATTGCTATATGTCATCGTTATGCTACGAAATCCCCCGATAATTCACGAAATTTTGCTATATATTTATATGTTGATATACTGACGCGGTATCGATCTATTTTACTAACAAAATCTCACAAGAATTTGCAAAATATCACGAGTTTGTAACAGAATGATGAAATTTCACGAGATTTTGAAAGTAAAATAGAATAGATCGATGCGTTTTTAAAAATCAATTTGATATCAGCATATGAAAATATATTTGAGTATATTATTTTTCAAAGTGTCAGAAATGGATAACAAAACTGCTATTTTAAATGACTACTTATTTTTGTCCAGCTTTAACATCGGTATCGATATCGGTTATCGGCTACATGAGTTTTAAAATATCGGATATCGGCCAAAATCCCAATATCGTGCGTCCCTAGTTCCGTTAGGAGGGAGTGGAACCACTTAAGCCTTAAGGGTGTTTTTCATATTTTGCCGTTAGTTTACCAAATGCTGCCACTAATGGGAGACTAGTGCAATTTCCATGTGAAGAGCTCCTCTCTGCTGCTGCTGATGAAATCTCTGATCCTCCACCCTGCTCTCTGACTCCTTTATCTGTTCTTCTACTGCAGGCGGCCATAAAAGGAGCGACTCCGGTTCCTTCATCCATCCTCATCAACATCACTGGAAGAAAACTAGTGAAATGAGCGAGTGAGGCTGCCAGTGTCTTCAGCGCTCCAACATACCACAGTCCCAGTAACATCTGCTGAGCTACTTGGTGCTCCACCACCTTCACTGACGGACTGACTGAGGAATCTCTCCTCTGAAAGCAAATGCTTTCATTTACTATTCAGGACACTTTCCAAGCTCTTGTCCATGATGCATTGATGTGTTTTAAAGTCATTCCCCATCTTTTAGCAGAACTCCTGTCCCCACAGTGAGGCAGAGCTGCTGCTGGCAGATCAAATATATGTCCTGTGGAAGAAAAACCCACAGAAATAACAGAGAGAGAGTTTCCAGAAACAACATGAGGTCATAAAAAAACCTGTGACACAGGTAAGGACAGATCCGACAGCGGTCCAATGAGACCCGACTAGAACAACAACAGAGCTTCATCTTCCTCAGACCTCAGATTGCTTCCAAAGTTCTGACTAATTTTTAAGCAATCATAAGCAAAAACAAAAAAAATCTAAATAAACTCACAGGGAACAAGGGATGAGAAGTCATAGTAGGTGAAATGTTTTTTAATCACTTTTCCCCAGTGAGAAGTTGGGCAGCACCATTTGAAGTTAAAGACATAATGGACATGCCTGGGGTTAGACCATAATTTAAATAGAATATAATATAAAATTGTTAAAATTATATTAAATAAGATATATATTTATTATAGTAAAATATAACTGTTGTGCCATAAGCCATGATATTGAAATTGCATATTGGTGGATAGCCGTCCAGACCCCCAGGCTGCAGCATCCCCTCTGCAGAACACTTCTAGAGAAGCATCACAGGGAAATAACAAATAAGAATCCTTTCCTTTCCCATTGAGTTGCGTCCCAGTGTTCACGGGGATGGACGTCTGTGTCTTCAGCAGGCATAGAGCTAACAGAACTGGCAGCGTTGCGAGGCAAGGGCTCAAACATGTACGGCTGTAAGCCTTCTACACCAAACCAAGCTTCTGCCGCCCTGGCGTCCTCTTCCACAACATCTTCGTCCCCGCTTTCCTCCTCTAAATAAAAAATTGTTGACGGAGGAGACTCATCCACGACCTCCGACTCTAAACTCTCCTCCTCTTGCATGTTTCCTCTGTCCATAGCGTTCCTTGACAGTGTCGTTTCTAAGTCACCAATTTAGTGCCACTTGGTCCCAATGGAATTTCTCATTGGGAACCTGCTAGCAATAAGTTTGTTAGTGTTCTGTTAGGAGGCACTAATACATGAGGAGCATCTGACACAATCAACAGCATGAAAAACCATTCTTTAAGATTTGAGGATTGGTGAAACTACCTAGGTGTTCACTTGAGGTAGTAAAAATACAAGAAACAAGAAGGGTAATGACATGGTACCTTAAATTTCAAAAACACGATACCCCTCCAGGGAAACTCTTTATGTGTGCGAACTTAAGCTATTTGAGCCTTTGATTCCAGACACTTATAATCGATAGTTGGCAACAATGTATCAGAGAAAAGACAAAATGTATTTCTTTTATACTTTCTCCATATCCTGCAACTTTATGAAGAGGTACCCCTCCTATTGTGCTTTTCAAAGGATTTAGGGAAGGTATCTAGTAATCTAGTTTCAGTAAAAAATGGTTCATCATAAATTTGGGAAGATGTATAATCTAGCTGGTACCAAACACATCAGTTCAACATGTCTAAACATGAGCTCATTCACAGACAACAGTCTCCAACTTTCCACTAGGGTTCAGGAATCTACAGCAGCAAGGACACCCATTATTAAAGGTCTGCAGCACTTTGTGAAGAACAACCTGGAGAGTCCACATCAATAATGCTGACAAACAAGGAAGCAGGAGCCAAGCCTGTTAGCAGCTAACATGAGAGGAGGGTATGGCAAAACAACTGACCATTTAATGAGGGATCTCAGAGGCCATCTAAAGACCTGCTGTGTCCCACCTGAGGAAGGGGGAAACTAAACACTGGTTTATATATTATTTATTTGATTTTTCTGGAGTGGGAACTTGGCAGCAGAACAATGAGGGAGGAGGAGGAGTTTGCAGAACTTTAGCTTCTGTGACCCGCTTTCAATAAAAAGATCTTTTGTTTTAGCTATGCTAGGCATCCACAGCAGAGCTCACAGTTCCTGTTTTGTTACTGAACTGATGACGACTCTGTAAAATGAGGTGAACTGATGAGGCTCCAGCCAAGCTGAGAGATGCCGTCAGGAAGTTAACATTTCATCTAGAGGAAATAATCTGCTCATTGGGATAGGAGAGGGTCGGTAACCAAAGACAAGTCTTCATCAGGGTCTGGATGCTCTCTTCTTTGCCTCCAGAAAAAATTAGCAGGAAGTGATGAGTCATTATGAACGAGATGAATGCTTCCATGGTGGAAGTCTGTCAGGTTAACAGGATGTGTGTTCTCTCTACTCTGTCTATCTTCTCAAACCCTCTAGGTTACAGCTTTGTGTCGGCTATCAAGAGAATACAGATGAGCTAAGGCAGGCAACCTCTAAAATAGGGGCTGAATTTGGGCAGGCCCGCTTTAGACGGTTGGTGTTGGGGCTTCAGAGAACCAGGACAGGTAAAGTTCTATTAACAATGATGCTGACATTAGCCAGGTTCTCCTGAATGTTGGTTCTAAATGCTGCTGTCTGCTGTAGATGGTTGAACTAATGTGTCATTTTTCAGTCTGGATGTCTACATTGGGTGGGTTATCTGATGACTGCTTTATGTCTAAGTGCAGAGTAGAAAGCAGATGAAACAGAATCCTCCTCATCTGGACCAGAACAGTTTCCACTTCTGCTTCAAAATTAACAACCAGAGACACCAAAGGCAGCCTGGGCTCTCAGCCCTGAACAAGAAGAATGTGACTGTGAGGAGGTGGTAGAGGCCACATTTAACAAGGTTATATTTGGTTCAATGGTGAGAGCAAATGTTAGTTTCCTTCATTGTCATTGTCTAACTGGTGATGTATTTTCCTTTGAGCTGGAAGACCTAGCTGACTGCATCTAGCAAGGCCAATGCTTGTTTATGCATGTTCTGCTTCCTTTTAAATCTTCAAGATGTTTTTGTTTTGGCCACACCTCCAGATTGTGTTGGAGGTTGTTGGGGCTATGGATTGGCGCAGGGGTACTTGTATTTGTTACCTTACAGGGACCGAATTCCTAGGAAAATACTACTTGTTAGAACGGCCCAATTAGTCCCCCATAAGGAAAAGTTCTATTCTTGGGTTTGTGGTTAGCTTTAGGTCTAAGGTGTGAGTTCAGTCCAGGTTAGGCTTAGGGTAAGGGCCTGGGTTAGACTATACATATCAATGAAAGTCAATAAAAAGTCCCCATACAACAGGGTAACACAAAATAAGGGTCTGGGTTTGGGATATTACCAACTCAAGCCGATCGAGCATGCAGAGGACCACCTGCTGTGACCAGATTATTTATGTGTATGTATACTGAGGTGTTAATGAGTTGCTCCAAAGAGTGAAAAACCCACTTGCAATTTTTGCTAGGGTTATGCATAATAACAAATGTCGAAAAATAGATGGATATTGGCAAAAAGCTTTTCAACTGCACATGATAGCATCCAACAGACATAAAAAAATATACTTTTACTAACAAACAGAGGTACCAAAATTCTTCAAAAAAGAATATTGGAATCAAGCTAATAATAATACTAAAAATAATTGAACAATACATAAATAATTGAACATCACTGACAACACATTGGAGAAATTTATCTCTGCATCTTAACCTATCCCCTTGGAGAGCAGTGGGCTGCCACCCTGCAGTGCCTGGGGAGCATTAGGGTCTTGCACAGGGACCCAGAGAGCAGGATATGGGTATCGAGCTGGGTATTTGCACCCTTCTGAGAGCACAAGCGCACTGCTCTAACCACTAGGCCACCACTCCCTTAAAGGAAAATTCTGGTTTTTAACACTTTTAGCCCCTTTTCTGTAGTGTCCAGGATGAAATCGAATGATCGACACCAAAATTTTGACGATTGGTCCTGTCTCGGCTATTTGGCTCATGCAGAATCCCCCCCCTGGCTGCTTCAGAATGGCTTGCATAGTCTATGTCAGATAATGTCCTTAAAACAACCTTAAACGTTCTTTTTTTAAAATATGCTACTCACCGAGTCGTCAACGCTGTTCAATGACGTTCAAAAACAAGTTTCGTAAAGAAAAAACGTTCCTGTAGTGTTTTATTTAGCATTTTGTAAATCCCATTGAGTTCTGTTGGAATAGTCAATATCCCTCCGCCACCGGAAACGGAAAGGGGGCCTGTTTACGCTTAGTTGTAGTCTTTTCGCAAGGCCCAAGTGTTTTTCCCGCAGTTCCTGACAGCACAAATCCTTCCCATCTTGTTATAATTCGCTAGCTCAGTTACCTGCCTGCTGCTACCTTGGATTTGAACTCGGCAATGACCATCTTCTTCTTCTGTTTGCTATGTCCTACACAGTGGTCCTACATTCCCAAAGTATAGAGACATTGTCGCCAACTAGTGGTCTGGAGTGTGCAACGCTTCAGATTCAAACGGAAGGCGGAAGTTTATAAGCGGTTGTGATGTATCGGAAAAAATTGTTCTGGGATTTACAAAATGCTAAATAAAACAAGACAGGAACGGTTTTTCTTCACAAAACTTTTTTTGGAACGTCATTGAACAGCGCTGACGACCCGGTGAGTAGCATATTTTAAAAAAAGAAAGTTTAAGGTTGTTTTAAGGACATTATCTGACATGCACTATGCAAGCCATTCTGAAGCAGCCAGGGGGGGATTCTACATGAGCCAAAAAGCAGAGACAGGACCAATCGTCAAAATTTTGGTGTCGATCATTCGATTTCATCCTGGACACTACAGAAAAGGGGCTAAAAGTGTTAAAAACCGGAATTTTCCTTTAAGCTAGAAGTCCTACTTGATGTGCAGCCACCTTAAACAGCACGGTTCTAGTTCGACAGCTCTAGATAATTTCCTTAGAGTATTTTCTTTATTTATAAAATGAAATCCAGAATTATTGCTTTAGGTTACCTTAACTTGCAGGTTGAGAATCAGATTCTACTGACTATGCAGCAAAACCTACTCACAATAATGATCATACTCTAGATCTTATGAAAACTCATAGCTTTCCTTCAAATATAAGTACATCAGTTGTTTGTGTCATCCTCATGGCTGTACAAGCATACTCTTTTACAGATAATATTCTATTAGTAATAACGTAGGTTTATACTTGGAGAATGATTCTTAAGGTTAATGTATTTTCCTACCTTCACAAGTGAGTGCAGGCCTCTCTCTCCAAACATGTCCTGCAGGAAGGTATTGTCCTCTGGTCGGCTGACATGAGGCTGAAGCTGGGATGGCAGAGCAGCCAGCAGTGCATACAGACCTGCAGAGAAGGACACATATGCAAACCTTTGCTGTTTATTCATAAAATAAGAAGCTTTTTAAAGGACACATTTTCTGTAAGCATTTTAAGTATACATGTAATCCATTAAACCCCAGCAGAAGTGCGTTTAGTCATATAGAAACTGTGTGGGGTCTTTTAAAGGGTGATACCAAGAACACCCCAAAAAACATCATCCTCTCTCTGCTTCAGGTACCCTGGCAGAGCCTAACATTTAGACCATAAGCAAACCACTTGAGGGTCCGGATAAAACATGAAGAGAACAGCAGCAGCAGAACTCACGGAAAGTTATGTTTAAATGTTTTTTTCCAGGGTCGTGGAATTGGTTCACATTAGCATCATCCAAACTAGAATTCTGACTCTGGCATGGTAAACACTAGCCTGGGTGCCATTCCGAACTTAGTCCCGCCCACAAGGTTTGAGGTCGGGAAGTTCGGTCTGGCATTGCTCCATAGTAGCGCGACTATGATCGCCCACTCTCTGGCGATCCAATCAAATTGTCAGGGCGGGCTTTATACGATGATGGACAGATGATCAACAGTAACGTAATCAACCATGTGACCAAAGCGCGCTTGGGTGACAACAACAATGGCTGCCGCCGGAGAGTTGAGGTGAGTAGATTCTGCTATTAGGTCTGTTCTAGAAGATATTGACAGCAAATTAATTTTAAAAGAGGAACAGAGAAATGCGATCAAGGCTCATCTTCTTATTCTAGGCGTGCAACTGCACGCTTTGATTTTTGTTGACAACAACTATGCGTCGCTTAACATACGTCACGCACTCCGTTGCTCTTATTGGTTGTAGGTCTATCCGATTGAGTGCAGAGGCCTTTTTTTTTCCTGGTTCGTTCGAAACACACCCCATAATCACAGCTCTATGGAGCATAATCAGACTCATATTCTGACTAGAATTGAGTAGGACTACGTCAGGCTAGGTAAACACTAAAATTACCAAGATTTTCAGTTTCCCTCTCCCTCTACCGGAATGAATTGTCCAACCTGTTCGTGGTGCACACTCCTGGCCCCTTCTGTTTCTAGTGCATTCTAACAATTGTCTTCACCATGATTGGTTAGAGTGATCCTAACTACTAGGACAGGGCAATTAATTAACTAACTAAAATCACTAACACAATTTTAGCTAAAATTAATCACAATTATTGTTGCACAATTAAATTGGAGAAGCCTCAGAATCTAACATACAAAAGTGGAACTCCGCTGTTTTAAATTGGTCTGTCAAAAACTGTACAAAAATGCTTCCTTTAACTTTGCTGTTATTCAATTTTTAAAATAATGTGGAAATTTCCTCTCATATTTAGCTGGAAGCCCGGGAACTCCTCCAGTGGCAGCTAATTCCTGCATTTTGGTCCAGTATCAGTGTGACAGCAAGCAGCCGACTGGCTACCCACCAGGAAAATTGTCTGGAACCCCTTAGAGGATCCACCGGCCCCCTCAGCTTCCAAACCTCCCTGATGTCTCCAACAAGCTGAGACCGACTGAAGACCAGATGCTCAGGATTCTTTTCCACCAGTACGAAAGATTTTCTGTGTCTAAAGACGGAAAAGAAATATGCCAATGCAGCTACTTATCTCAACACTGAGGTAAAGCATGAAAGAAAAATCAGAATAGTGGCAACAGAAGACACAGAGTCATTATACAGTCATCACCATTACTGCATGCAGTCAATGGGTTATTAGCATGTCTGCTAAAAGCTTTGTTCCATCCAATCATTTCCATGTGTTGTCTTTCAGCCTCCTCCTCAGCAGCTGTGCAAAGCTGAACCGTCCCCACTTTTAATTGCTGTGTGGGGACCGTAAACCTGGATAGAACCTGCAGGTCCAGCTTGGAATAACACTGTTAACTTTAATAGGTTTATTGAAATACAGATTTATTTTCCACGAGAGGCTAAAGTTAAAGGTTAGTCTAAAGTCTTCGAAAAAATAAGCATTTGTTTTACTGTGTAAATGTTACAAAATGCAGAATCAAATACAACCGTTTTAAGCAGTAGTGGGGTTTTTTGTCCAGGTCTTGGAACACTGCACCTGCTCTTCACCCTTTACGGGTCACTTAGGGTTCATAGTTCAAGTTTGCTCACTGATTCTAGGGCTATTAACTAGACTGCATTTGGTTTCTGCATTGTTGCTGTTATGTTACTTTTCAGACCAAACGATTCGTGTTTCAAAAAAGACGTCAAACGCCTCAACCTGTATGCATTTTAAAGTCAGACACTCATATGTGGACAGGTGTGTCTCTGTTCTTTTTTTATGCATTATGTGACATTATGAGTGGGGGAAAAATACATTTTAAGATGCTTTTAAGGTAGAAATGACATCTCAAAACAAACAAAATCCCTGCAGTCGGTTTGTCAGGACTTTATTTGTTCTTTTGTAGTTGTTCAGACCGGCAGAGCCAAGCATACACGCCGGATTCCCCAGTAACAGCTACCTCAAAACCAGCCAGGAACTTAGGGATTTCGCACTGCTGTTTGTATTAGCTGAAAGTGAATATAAAACGTTTATTTGGTATATATTTAGGTAATAAACTACCACAATTTGAAATCAAATATTTTTCCTCATGTGTTCCTATATTTTTGAGTTAAACTGTTATATAAACTGTTGTGCCACAGTTTATACCTTTATATCAGTTTATATCTTTATCATCTATGAGGCGTACTAATGATCAAATAAATTTTACATTCAGTTTATTTATATAGCACCAATTCCCAACACATGTCATCAGAGGCCCTGGAGGTGATGCAAAACCTACAAAGGTGATCATGTATTTTAGCTGGCCCCAGAACGTCTTGGGATTTTCCCCATAGGAACAGGAGGTGGTGTCTGAGGAGAGGGAAGCCCTTCTGAAACTGCTTCCTATACAACCCAGTGGGAATAAGGGGAAGATGACAGATTTATTTTAACAGCATGAAGGTCATGTATTGTTGCTACCATACAACTGTGCTAAATAAAGTCAGCTATCTATGATAAAAGGGTAGTTATACCACACTGCCTGGCCCAAAAAAAAGTCGCCACCAAAAAAAAAAGGTCATTCACTCTAATACTTTGTTGGACCGCCTTTAGCTGTCCAACAAAGTATTAGAACACATCCCAAAGATTCTCAATGGGGTTAAGGTCTGGACTCTGTGGTGGCCAATCCATGTGTGAAAATGATGTCATACTCCCTGAACCAGTCTTTCACAATTTGAGCCCGATGAATCCTGGCATTGTCATCTTGGAATAAGCCTGTGCCATCAGGGAAGAAAAAGGACCATTGGTGGAATAACTTGGTCATTCAGTATATTCAGGTAGTCAGTTGACCTCATTCTTTGAGAACATACTGTTGCTGAACCTAGACCTGACCAACTGCAGCAACCCCAGATCATAACACCGCCCCTACAGGTTTGTACAGTAGGCACTAGGCATGGTGGGTGCATCACTTCACCTGCCTCTCTTCTTACCCTGATTGGCCCATCACTCTGGAACAGGGTAAATCTGGACTTATCAGACCACAAGACCTTCCATTGCTCCACAGTCCAATCTTTATGCCCCCTAGCAAATTGAAGCCTTTTTTTCCGGTTAGCCTCACTGATTAGTGGTCCCAATCCCTTGAGTTCCCTTCGCATTGTGCGTGTGGAAATGCTCTTACTTTCAGTATTAAACATAACCCTAAGTTCTACTGTTGTTTTTCTTCGATTTGATCACACCGCACGTTTAAGTGATCGCCAATGACAATCATTCAGGATTTTTTTCCGGCCACATTTCTTCCTTGAAGATGATGGGTCCCTAACCTGACAACAGCCAGATGCATGTCTCGCTCCGCCTAGCTCCACTCACATACATCTGGGAACCCGCCATAGGAATTGCCTTTACTGAAGGCTGGGCCTTATCAAAACTCCTTGCATATGATTGGATAAGCCACTTGTCTGTCATCTTTATTGACGTGTTATTTCAACCACTCACACCGAAGCTAACCCGTGACGCTGTGAGAGGAGGATCCATTTGGTAGATCGAGCTCTTGCCAAATCCGGTCGGGAGAAGGGCGAAAACATCGTTTCCACCAACAAAAGCCTTCAAAGCCGTTCTCTGATGTTCTTTTAATGAAACAATATCAGATAGATTGGACAAAACAGAAGAAATAGCAGCATCAATGCTAACGCTTGCTTCCTCGATGTGAGCCGCCATTGTTGTTGGAATCTCACGGTCGCTTCTCCACTCCAGGAAACACCCGCCCTGTGTCCTGATTGGCCAGACCATAAATTTGGTTGGGGAAATCACTTTCAATGAGCGGTGTCCCAGATGTATGTGAGTGGAGCTAGGCGGAGCGAGACATGCATCTGGCTGTTGTCAGGTTAATGGGTCCCCACTATCCTTCCGGTTTTTAATAATGCATTGGACAGTTCTTAACCCAATTTTAGTAGTTTCTGCAATCTCTTTAGATGTTTTCTCTGCTTGATTCGTGCCAATGATTTGACCCTTCTCAAACAGACTAACATCTTTTCCACGACCACGGGATGTGTCTTGTTTAGGAAATGAGAAGCAAGTCATTGCACCAGTTGGGGTTAAATAACTTGTTGCCAGCTGAAAGATAATCGCCCATGTAGTAATTATCCAATAGGAGGTTCGTACCCATTTGTTTAGTTGAATCCAGGTGGCGACTTTTTTTTTGGCCAGGCAGTGTATAAAGGTGTCTTGCTTCTTTGTTTTTCACATGGGCTTGTTGTCTCAGGACAAAGTCCACCTGGATTTATATCATTAATGGAAGGATGCTAGCATTACCCTGCTTTGGTCTCACCACTCCTGTCTCTATTGCACCAAAAGTTCCACCAATCAGGGATTAACCTGCAGCCTATCAATGATTGTTAGTGCTTTTTTACCCATTGTGTCATAGATCAGGAAAATGGTAGTAAAGGAACAATGGCTAACTGCTACTGTTGCTAACACTGCATCCACATGAACATGCACACAAGTCGATCTCTTGTGATTACACTTG